GAAAAAGCGAGCAGCGTTTATCCCCCACTCGCAGCCAGAAAAAGCGGTCACGTGACCTGGAGCCGAATATATGCCACCAATGTTGATTAAAGTCACGTGCTGAGGTTGGCAAAGCACAGGACACGCGATGAGTTCCAGACATTCTTAAGGGCCGCCCACACTAGCGAGAAAACGCGCCCGGCGCGCCGATAAATCGGTTAAGCGGGAAGATAAAGGGCGTGTCTCTGCACGCGCTCGTGGCGCTGACTGTGCTTCGGCGACATTTTGTTACTTGCCGCGATCGGCGTGCCACGCGCGTTTTCTCGCTAGTGTGGGCGGCCCTTTAGGGTTCGGCTATTGTCGTCATTTGCCGCGATTGGACACGGGCCACTACCCGAATGCTTGTCGAGCTGTCGATTTTCACGAGTCCAAATCGAGTGCTCACGCAATGCTCGGGTTCGATATACGAGCCGCATTGAGGCGCAGGAAATTGGAAAATTGGGGGAAAGCTGGGGGTGTCAGCACCCCTTCAATATGTTTATCCAAAAAGGAATATTGCTTTCTAGACACACAGTGACAGCGCATAACGTGGCTAAGGAGCACGTGGCGTACATTACGTGTATTTTATCTTTATTTGTGTGTCATAACGTTACAGTATTCGTACTTGATGTTAGCACGAATAAGCTTTAGTTGTAAGTCAGCGCCTTGTTCGTCTACCTTCTTGTTCTTGTCCGTGTCCTTGCGCTAGTTTAGTTTTTAAACGCATTCGAATATCGTCCCTCGGGGGGGGGGGGGGGGGGTATTGGGACTCCCCCCCCCCCCCCCCCCCCTCCAGCTACGTCATCAGGTTTTGCGAAGGAAAGGGTGAAAGAAGACTTTCGATTTATCCTAGAAATTACGCCGCAACAAAGAGGTTTCTTGGTCAATGGCAATTCGTGCGAGTACATTCGGGTTCCAGTAGTGCTAGTACACTCGTGCGAAGTGAAAAACATTCCCATTAAATATCATTGCACCACCCCTTTAAGCCACTTTTTTTTTTAATAAATCAGTTTCGCCTTTAGAAGCTGCAGAATGGATGCCTTTACAGTATTCCAGTATTCAGCGGCTCCTACTCTTTCTCACACGCAACACACACTATATATTTATACTGATATATAGTTCAGGGCATGTTCGTCGGTCGGAATACTCCTCCTGGCCTCAAACAGTAATGAGCTCCTTCTAGAGTTGTCACATTTACAGGGTAGGGTGTCCCCCAAAAACATTTACACGAATTTTGTTTTTTCATTACAAAAATAAACTACGATTTGGCGAACGCTCATTCTCCGCCCAAATGTAGCGCTATAGGTTCGAACCAAGTGCCAAAGTTTCAAGACTAACCGTTATCTTGTTCAAAAGCCATAAGTGATATTCTAAAAATTTCAACGGAAAATGGGGCCTATTTTCGTCCGTTTTCACACTCTAAAAAAAGCCCGTGCGTCCACTTTCCCGCACAACACTCGGAGAGTCAATCAGTGGAACTCACGGAGGCAGCTCAGCGAATGACGATGCCGAAACACATGCTTAGAGAAAAAAAGCGCAGTCTGAGTTGTGACATTAAGCAATGCAAAACGCCACGCTTGCATTGCTTAATGTCACAATTCAGACTGCGCTTTTTTTGTCTAAACATATGTTTCGGCATCGTCATTCGCTGAGCTGCCTCCGCAAGTTGCGGTGATTGGCTCTCCGAGTGTTGTGCGGGAAAGTAAACGCACGGGCATTTTTTAGAGTGCAGTAACTGGCACTATAGAGCTCCATGTATTCGAGAGCTTTGTCTGCCGCCATTTTCCCATTGAAAATCTAAAATACTTGTAACTAGGGCTGGCCGTCGATTAAAAATTGTAACCCGATTAATCGGCACCCTTCATTTGATTAATTAATCGATTAATTGGTTTCGCTGATTTCTATGCATACTATATTAAATGGGACAAATTTGCACTTCTTGCCCTTGCTGACTTTTTATTTTTTATTTTACTATGTGATAAACGACGCAATGTGTATATATTTTCAATTAGAGTTCAACATTGATATGTTCTTGAGAACAGTCCAAAGAGTCTTACAGCTCATTTTCCCACTTGTAGATGCAGAGAAGTTCGTAGAACTTGATACCCTTCGACAGGAACGAGCTCATTTCTTTGTTCACTGCGCCAAACAGACACTCGCTCGTCATTGAAGTAACCGTACGAGATATAATCTTCTCGCTTGCTGTGGGTTGCAAACGTCGCCCCTGCAGCTTCCATTAAATTTGAATTTTGCCTACAGTTTCTTCTTCATATTGGTGTACTCCTCCACGTCTGTAAGAGGAATCGGTGGCCGAGAGGGTCAACGCGTCTCAGCTCGGAGCGGGGAGCGAAAGCTTGCGCTGGGAACCTCCTGGGTTCGTTTCCGCCGACCCCGACGTTTCGATCTGGATGAGCTTCGTACCGGTACGCGTTCGTATAATTGCTATAGCGTGATGCACGTTAAAGACCCCAGGTTAGCGGTAGTACTGCACTGGCTAAATTTATCATCTACAGCTAAGCGACCGGTCACCCGTTGAGGCGTACACACATCAAGGCTGTATAAACATACCAAAGCAAGCCATTCTTTTTCCCACGTCTGTGTGGTGTCTAACAGTGAAGCCAGTATAAATGGCGTAGGATACTCCGCGCCCCCGAGGAACTTATCAGTTTAAATTGTTGCTCATGTGTCCTCGACCCAACCAACTGCAGATTAGGACACTCGTTAAAGGAATGTAGAAAACGCGAATGATTGTTTATTCCGAATTCCAGGGTAAAAGAGAACGAAAACAACAACAACAATCTTATTTTGTGATTTTGACCCTCTCGGTCTAATCATCCGCACTTGCTGCCCGCAGTTTCGACTATTGTGGGCTCTGCAGTTTTCGGAGGGTGCCCGGTGATTTTCTCCAAGGAGGCTCGTTCAAACACGATACTTCAAAAATCGTGAGGCGACCCGACTCCGACATAAGTCGTGCGGCAATCAGCTTTCAACCGTAAGCTTTTTTTTTTTTTTTTGACGGGGAAAAGTTTCTTCCGTCAAAGTTCGCCCGTGTCCTCCAAGGGAGTCTTGAGAATGCTCATCACGTGGGTCTGGACAGCCACTCACAAGCTCTGTTGGCTGTTGGTCAATCGCCCGAGGCCTCCGCTGCTTTTTCGAAAACGGGAAAAGAAAGGGCGGTGTTCGAAATCTTACCAAAATACAGGGTGTCGCAAATGAAAATTTACACGGTCTTTTTTACCGCTAAAATAAACTAGGCATCGCCGAACGCTCATTTTCCGCCCAAAGGTAGAGCTAGAGGTCACAACCAGATGCCGAAGTTTCAGCCCGATCCGATAACTTAATCAAAAGTTATAAGGGATTTTCTGAAAATTTCAATGGGAAAATGGACCCCATTTTCGCTCGTTTTCGGTTTCTGGTGCCATAGAGCCCCATGTGTTTGAAAACTCCGTCGGCCGCCATTTTCCCATTGAAATTTTCAGAAAATCATTTATAACTTTTGATTAAGTTATCGGATCGGGTTGAAACTTTGGCATCTGGTTGTGACCTCCAGCTCTACATTTGGGCGGAGAATGAGCGTTCGGCGATGCCTAGTTTATTTTTGCGGCAAGAAAGACCGTGTAAATTTTCTTTTGGGACACCCTGTAGATCAGAGTTACTCAACAAGTCGTGTCACGTGATAACACAGATAGCGCGACGTTGGACGCGGGAAGTTTTTTTAAAGCAAAGTTACAAAACCCTTACCCTGAAGTAAAATCGGGTGAATTTTGGAGCACGCTCCAGGGTACGACAGCCCGGCAGAACATATGAACACCATCGGCAAGTCGCGTGTGACGCCAAGTCTGACGAGCTCCGAGGTCACCGAAAAGCGGACGACATCGGACTGCCGGGCGGCCGGACGTTTCAACTTCCACGATTTTTGATAGAGTCGTATCTCCTCACGATTTCTAAAGCGTCCTGTTTGGACAGGCCTTTTGGCCTGAGCCGAAGAAAGGTCACGCCAGCCGGGCCCTGAGGCTGTCGATACCCCTCTAACCATGTAGACGTGTCGTCCTCCCTCTTTGTGTTCTCGCTAGTTTGGAGGGAAACTCAGTCGACGGAATGTCCAAAATTGGCCCCGTGAATGGAGTCTTTTCAGAAGTCCGCGTCAACGCCTCTCCGCCATTGCTTGCTCACATACTCTGAGTTTAGATTGGACACGAGGGCCGTGTCAGCTTTACATACATAAAATCCATCACCAGAATCACTTGACTACTCCAAAACTCAAATAAAATCTGCGTTTTTTTTTTCCAATCCAAGTTTGTTAGATGAGGAAAACGTATAATGTGTTTTTCTTGTTTTGTTTTGGTTCGTCACAATTCAAGCGATTAACCGGTTAAAAATATTGATCGCGATTAAAGAATTAAACGATTAATCGATCAACCGCCCAGCCATATACATAACGTATGAATAAGATACCGGTTAGTGCTGAAACTTCGGAATCTGCTTCGGACCTCTAGCGCTACATTTGGGCGGAAAATGATCGTTCGGCGATCTGTGTGTGTGTGTGTGTGTGTGTGTGTGTGTGTGTGTGTGTGTGTGTCAAACTTTATTATCAATATGACGCCCTGTCCGGCGCTATGCGTAGTTTATGTTTGCGCGAAAAAAACAAAACAAAACAAAAATGTAATTATTTTTTTTTGGGGGGGGGGGGGGGGGGTGGGGCGGGGGGTGAAAGGGAGGGGGGGATGGGGGGCAGCTTGTACTTTTACAGGAGGGTAGAACTTTTCAACGCTTTTGTTTCCAAAAATTTTCAGTTCCTGTGCTTGGTGCACGCGATCGTAGCTTCGGCTGATGCTTTGATATTAGTTTCATCAACGTTTTTGTACGTGACGGCTTTCTATAGCATCCCTATACAACCCACTGACAAAATCTTCTCTTCGAGAAACATACGGGCGAAGGACACGACGCGCCATACACGCGCAGGTAAAAGTGTTCCCACCCACCTTTCCGAACTGGTTGCAGGGAAACCCGAGCACGGTGAAGTTCCTTTGCCCGAACCTGGCCTGCAGTGCATTCAGTTGCAGGTAGGTCGGGGTCAGGCCTCAGTAGGTGGCCACGTTCACCACCAGAGCGACGTAGCCCTTGAACCTGCTCAGGGGGATGGTGTCCTTCTCCTGGACATCCTTGAAGGTGAAGTTTTGCAGACGCTCGGCGGACTCGTCTTGGATGCAGTCGATCTGGAGCGGTGCCGCGGCCTGTGCGACCGGTCCCACGCCGGCCCCGACCGCGCAGAGCAGCGCTAGCGAGAGCGCCGACAACATCGTCAACGGTGCGCCGTCCGCGGTTTGTCCCCGGTCGTTCGGCGGGGCGCTCGTTTTATCCGGAACGGCAGGAAGGTCGTGCACGCCGCACCTCGTAGAGCCCTATCGCTAGACGTGCCGTAGGGGGGGCGGTGTGCGCGAACGCCCTGATTGGCGCCGGGCGGAAACCGCGTCGTCCGTCGTTAAAAGCGAGCTGCACGGGAGCGTGGCGAGCGAGCGACCGCGGACGCGGAAACACGTCGTCGGTGCACGCGACTTTCACGAAAGCTGCGTCGATGACGGATCTGATCAGACGTAAACGGAGGAAAATGTAATTGAGGTGATTTTGGGCGAGGGGAGATGGGCTGGGGAAGCCTGAGAGCGAGGTCGGATGGAAATCCGGGGCGCAGGCGGGGGTAAACAGTTTATTAGATTAGAATTTTACGAATTGAACGTCGAGTAGGGTGACACGTATTACACTAGTATAGATACGATTAATTAGCCTGAGGGCTCGACCACGCTTTATTCCAAGTCACTTCATTTCTCGGACAGTTCTTCGCGTACGTTTCACGAAGACACGTCCTTCCTCAAATACAAATAAAGGTCCCATTAGCTGTCATTAGCGAGTTTTGGTATTGCGTGTACGAGCGAACGCAAGACCTGTGCTTTTGCGTTAGCGTTGCAAATTCCACACTGCGCATGCGCGGACCCCAAATTGCGGCCTTGGATAGGAGCATTGTGGTGGACTTGCTGCGGAACGCGTACCTATACTGTTGAAATGACCACCAGCAAGGCGCGGTGACTTCACGTGCAAATCAAAGTGCACGCTTAAATCTCCAAGACGTATCGCGTGCTTGAACGTATTCGCACCAGAAAACGCTGAAAAGTATTACTTTATAACGAAATCAGGGCCCCTTCGCCACGTGCCATAGGCCAATCTCGGGATGGAGAGTCTGGGGATAAATTGGGTTGATTCCAGCTCTTTTCGCTTTCGGAAGCGTGTTACGTAAAGTTATTGAATGCCCCCCCCCCCCCCCCCCCCCCCTCCTTTAGCGCCCATTATTGGAAAGTGCCAGGGAACGCACACACTTTTCGTTCCCTAACAACAGGGTTCGACAAATTATGATAGTTTTCGGTGTTGAAACCCCAGAGGCCGAGCGTAGAAAACGATGGCGTAATTGGGCGTTTTACTCGGCATAATTGGACTCGCTGTAGCACGTCTGCAGTGGGTTCTTGATAAGTGTAGCCTCTATCGTATTACCACGTCATTATCACCAGACGCGCGAACCGAGCTCAGCTCTTCGTGACAGCCGGTCTCTTTTGAAAGCTCCAAAAAGAAGGCGTCCCAGAGGAAGCGGTTCGCGTAACGCGGTCGAGGTTCGGGCTCGTTTAGACATCACTGAGATATACTTGGGCAACCTACTTCGTATAAGTACAGTTTAGTCCCGAATGCAACTATATAACTACAAAATTAGTGAAAGATGAAAGGATCAAAACTACTAGTATCCAAAAATTAATAATAAAATAGTACGTTATTTTAAAATGGTAATTGAGTTACTTCGGAATTACTTTTGCTTAATAGTTGACGTACTTCAATAATCTAAACGAAGCGAGAGCATTTTTTTTCTTAACGGGACAAAATGTATTGGACAGTTTCTTGCCTCACCGTCGGAGATTCATTTATGGTGTTTTGCATTCGTCACATTTCGGAGATTATGAACTTTACTAACTTTAATAATCGTATATAAGGGTGGAAATTTTCATGAGATTTTTTTTTCTTCTTTGCGAAACCACTAAGATTAACGAAATATATGCTTAAAATGTAGGCGAGCTGATGTTCACATAATAATTAACCTGAGAGCAAGAAACAACAAAAATAAAACACGATTAAGAAAACAACATAAACTAGATTTATTTTATTTAAAACAGATTTATTTAACTTAAACGTCATTAATTTGATTTATATTACTGTAGCTAAAAGATAATGGTTATTTACCACAAGATGTATTTTTAAATATGACAGATTGATTGATTCATTCGTTCGATCGCTGATAGCAATGCGAGAAAATAATTAATGCGAATGTAATGCACAGTTTAATGAACAATGTTTTATCGCTATAATTCCCGCCATAATGGAACAAAACAGCCTATTTTTTTATTTTTTTTAGCAATCTATAAAACATTATTATATTTTTATCATGACTTTTTACCTGATTGCAGCGTAGGGCTTGACTTTCCTAGTTTTCGTTTCTTTCTTTTGCTTTTAGATTTTCGTCCAATGGGACTTTACGAAAGAAAAGGTAGAAACCAAGCTCAACGCTCCGCTTTTCTCAGAGCAGCGCTTCTTTTTGTTCGTGTTAACTTTTATATCAATCTTTCTCGCTCGATTAATTGTTTGACCCACATACAAAACAAATGAACATAGAAAAACAAAACACAGACAAACGGCAAATAAAAATATATTTGCGAGGTTATTTTTCTGGGAAAGGTTTGGATTTAAATCAATATATTGATTTTTATTCTCCACCCTGCCCGAGAGCGAAAAAGCAGGCACAGAGATGGCTGTTTCTCTTACCTCCCCCCTCCCCTCCCCCCAACCCCCTTTTTGATTGATGTCACTTGATGTCAGGTCACGCGGCATCAAATTTACCGCTAAATTTAGCTAGGAAACTGGTAAAAAGCATTTTACCCTCTAAAAAAAAAAAAAAAAAGTGCAGTAGCGTGGCGCATTTACTGTGCGTGGTTGTTTTAGCCGCTGTTGGCAAACGTACAAAAGCAACGAGCGCCGTGACTATGCACTTTCGGCGCCGCTTGATTGGCTACATCGGATCGTGTATACTTCGGCGGCGGTCGGACTTTAACGTGAAACTGAGTATAAGATTGTCGGCGAATTTTTTTTTTATTACTGCAGTTCAATAAGTGTAAGTGATTTAGTTGTGTTTGCGTAGGCAGTGAAAGAAAAGAATTGGCGGGAAAGACATGGCCGAGTTCCACCGAGCTAAGATATTCAATATGTATACACGGCATGACTCCAAAAATATCGTTATTTTTTTTCTCTCTCTCTCTCTCCATTCTGATTCCGCTCGCGTGTTACACATTTGGGGCGGCGTCACCTGGGCACTTCGCTGTTGCTCTTCGACCATTGCTCAGCTGCGAATACGCGTTCGGCGCTCATGCCTAGCCTTGAAACTTCCAAAGTCTGAAGAGCTGGCAGAAACTCAATAAGGCTGACGCCCACCGTTTTTCGTCCTGTGAGCCACTCCGCACAACTGTATTATAGACAGTGTGATAAAATAATAATAAAAAAATAGTTGCTATACTTACGGCCGCTAAACATAATTCAACTACGATTACGATTACGGCCCCCGAGCTTTACACTTCATAACTATTCCGATGTGCCAACTATCCCAGCGACCCGATCTCATGCACCGGACCTCGCATGGTGGCTGGGACCCGGATTTCCTTCGTGAACACCCGAGCCATATGCGTAATGTAATCGGGCTACACACAAAACACACGAAGAAACTGTGTCGCAGTCACCTATATGGGACGAGATCCGCTCCGACGATCGAGCTTCCTCAATCGACACCCCGACCCTCAAGCCCCGCCACTTCTCCACAAAGCCACTAAAAAAAGAAAGGAAGCTTTAAGTGCGCGAAATTCGGATTGCTGACACAGCGCCTTGCTCAGTTAGGTAACGCGTAACATCCTCATGCTCGACTGTTGTGCTTAGCTCTCTCCGGGTGATCCGAAGCTCACATCGCGAAGCCCTAACCAGCTGCGGCAAGTATTTCGCAGGTAAGTAACGGATTCATAAATTTGCCTGCCCTGCCCTTGAGTTACCTACCTACAATCTGAGTTGGATACACCCTATTGTGAAGGTAGGAGATTCGCCATTCTTTAAATTAAAACAACATGACTGGTAACCTGCTTGTCCTTTTTGTTGGTTCAACGGGGGACCCAAGGAACGAAGCAGGCAAGCATCTCTCCCGCACCCATCCTACACCACCAGGCACCGAACCGGCATGTGCACGAAACGTGGATCATCTGGACGCATGAGGAGTTGCCACTCGCTGCAATTACTTCAGGAACCGACTGCCAGAGATCTCGCCCCTAAATTTCCCTCTTTTTTAATTTTGTTTTTTTACGATCAGTTTTGCGAATTTGGGAGCGCCTTCTTTCGAGCAAACCTTGGTGAATCGCCACACTCTAAGGCGAATGGCGAGGCTGATAGTATATTTCGACCTGAAAAAGCATTCAGCGATGTTTCATTAAGCATGACATTTCAACATGCTGGGTGCCACAATGCAAACAGTCTTTTGTTTGTTTTTGTTTTGCAAGTCTAAAAGTATGATCCGTCTCGCCATTCACCAAGCTTATTTCCTCCGTAGATTGAAGCGAGGTATGAAACAGTAACAACATGATCCGCAAGGCCGTTGCAGCTCTGTATGAATAAGGCGAGTGGGGAAAACAAAGTTGCTACCTGCTTGAACTGTGCATGAACGATCAACTGTGGCAGATGTGAGTCGAGCGGCTCTGAAAAAGGTTCTTTTGAAAAGCAATTTTTTGTAAGACATTTAATAAAAGGAAAGCAACAACAGCAATATCGTGTGACCACTTGGCCTAAAAACATTAAACTTTCCTGGAGCTTCATAGCTAGGGAAAGAGGTTCTCAAATAGACTGTGTACTTTCCTCTATAACAGCCGAATTAGAAAAAATCGCACAAAGGCTTTGCTGTACACACCGATAAGCTAACTGTGACCCTCCTCCATCAGACCGTTATTTGAGTTTGAATCAGAGAAGGACAAATAGGTTTAAGCAAATGCAAACCTTGCATTTCGAAACTGAGCCATTTCTTGTTTGAGGGAAGAGGACGACTGAATAAGCAAAATTAATAAACGTTAACGAACAAACACTTCTGTCCGTTTTGTTAGCATAAAATGCCTAGTCTGTTACACAACGTAACTTCGAAAGAAAGAATAAAATTAGGCGATTGCTAATAATTCAATTTTTTTGCTACAGCGGTTATGTAATGTCATATCATCCTCTATACTGACAGAGCCTGGCAGATCGCCACGAGACGCGGCCGTCGAAAGTGAAAAGGTAGAGCGGCAGACAACGGATGAGAGGAGAGGCATATGTAACGGGCGCCCCGCTGCGACGAGACG